GTGGTGGGTGAGAGGATTCACCAGAGACAGAGAGGAGAACAGAACAGGCAGATGTATTGAAATACACTGTTGAGGGGAGCAGCGGGTAGATCAGGAGAGATCTGCTGTTCCATGTAGGTCAGCTCCCTGGTTGGGGATCAAACTCGTGCTGTAGCAGCTTCTGAGAGTTTCATAGTTTGGCGCTCTAACCCGTTGCTCCACCAGGGAGAGCCCCATCATGAATTTTTTTAATGCTTCTCAAATTTATACCTTAATTTTGAGATGAAATATAGAGATTTTCAAGTTTTATAAATATTTTCAGTGACATATAATTATTTTGAATTTCTAAATTTTTGTTGACAGAGAAGTGCTCATTGCATGTGGTATCTGGTCATAACTGTATTTGCACTTTGGAAGAAGCTTCAAATGGATACCTACAAAGCTTTTAAGTAGAAAATACAGAATAGTAATTGGAACTTTATACTATGTTCAAGAATCTTAAAAACATCCTTTTTTATGCTAAAAACAGTTTTTCAGCGCTTGTGCTATTATATTTTAAAGAGCTTTATAAGATGTTAGTTTACCTTGAGAATAAGCATTCTAGGATTAAGACACCATGCAACACCCTGTGTAAGTAGCATAGTACGATGATTGATTTTCACATTTGTGAAATCGGTTGGCTCCTTTCTGGTAGGGCGGTAAGCTGATCATTTGACAAGAATTGTACAGAGAAAAGGGGACAACACCTTGGTCTCTATAACAAAAGAATGACTTGCAGCAGAGACCCCACAAAAGCAGAGCAGAGCCAAATGCTGCTGAGGGTGAAGGAACATGGCCAGCATAAGGGGGAGCAGTGAGAAAGAACCAACCAACCACATAAACAGGTGCACTCACTCCAAAATTATGATTTTTCTCTCACCTGTTATTCTCTGTTATGCTGTGGATAATCACTTTAAAAATTGTGTTTCTGTATAGTTAACGATAGCTATAAAATTAGACTTGAATTAACATAACTAACCTTAATTTTATGTATGGAAATGAAATGTACAGTCCCAAAGATAAAATTATACAAGAAAGTGTTCTAAGAACAGTTTGCATAATAAATTAGCTATAAATTTTCAACCAAGCTAAACCAGAGCTTTTAAAATTTTGAGAGTTCAAGAGATCCAGGCAGGCTCAAATCGATAGTAAAGCCCTTGAAGGTTAATAAATTAACTGTATTTCTTCAGTTGCTCTCATTATCCTCCAAAGTATTGATTCTGTTAGTAGAGAATCATTTAGCTACTAGCAAGTTGTGGAGATGTTCATGTTTTACTAACTGATCTCACTTTAAATTCAACATTAGTCATCTCAAGTAGCCCTGGGACTCACTGCATTCCTCAGCCCTTCCCTTTCCCACTTTCCTAGATGACTACCTCACCCCTCAAACCTCCAACAAGCTCTTTGTTATCATCAGGCTTAGCCAATGACTCTTCGCTCCTGTCTCAGGGAGAAGGAGATGCCATGCGATGCTCCCGGTACTTACAGGTGATTTGCCTGCACTCCAGCGAAGGCCATCTTCTCTCCTTGTGTTCTAGTGCTCATCCTCTCCTTTGCTGGATGAAGTCTCTCCCACTACCCGCTAGCATTATCTTCCTTCTAGCTCATTTCTCTCCTCTCCTTTGTAATAATACTCTGAATAAACTGTATCTTCCCCAATTCCTCTTCTCTCTTGAGCTCCCTCTAATACAACTTCCCTCCCTGCCACTACACAAAAATTGCTCTTATCCATATTACCAAAGTCATCTGATCATCTCTTAGGGCCAGTTATGTGACATCTCTAGCTTCTAACGCAATTAATACCTCCTTGAAACGTTTCTTCATTTAGCGTTAAGAGTCCATCTTATCCTGGTTGCTTATCTTTCTGAACATTGCTTTTGAAGTTTCCTGCCTGTGTCTTAACCTCCTAACATTTACAGGCCGAGGACTCAGAGATATTAGCTTACTTTTCACATAACCTTGGTACCTTTAGACCTCATCCTGTAGCATAATTCTTTATGCTCTTATATACTGGTGGTCGTCGGATTACACTTCTGACATAGACCTCTCCCCTGAACTCCAGACTCGACTATCCAAACACTCACCTCCACACCAGATGTCCAGTGGGTATCTCTGAGCTTAATGTGTCTAAAACTGATCTCCTCCTCTTCCCTCCAAAACCCGTTCTCCCCACCCAGCTTTTCTGATGTAAAGAATAACAACCCCGTAGTTCTATATAGTGGCTCGGGACCAAACATCTTGGAGCAATCCTTGATTCATCTCTTTTTGTCATGCAGCATATTCAGTTGGTTCTGTTTTTAGATCTTTCTCAGAATCTGGCTCTTTCTCGCCACTTCTTGCTTCCCACCCCATATTACCTGTGATGGCCTCCCAACTGTCTTCTTGAATGGATTCAAGAAGCTAGAGTGATCTTGTAACGCTTGAGTTAAATGACACCATCCCTGTACTGCCAAGTCCTCACTGACTCTCCATTTCATTCACATTAAAGTCAAATTCCAAATTACAATGGCCTTTAACACCATGCAGGATCTGGCTCTCAGACATTCTCACATATTCTCACTCAGACCTCGTCTGGTCTCAGGAAGACATTGCTTGCCGACCCAGTCTTACTGACTACCTTCCCACCCACCTGCCAGGGCCTGAACATCTGGCCACGCCTCGGGACTTTGTGCAGGTTCTTCCTATGTCTGGGGTGCCCCTTCCTTGGGGTTCCAGGTGGTGCCTCACCTGCAGCAGGTCTTTCCCTAAGCTCATACTCTTCTATTTATAAGCTGCCCTCCACCTTCATCACTTATTTCTCTTGCTTTATCTTTCTAACAGTGGCTCTGTATCTAAAACCGCACCATTCTGTCAGTTACTTTGCATACGCTGAAGGATAAAGTTTCCATAAAGGTAGAGAGAAGTTGTCTGTTTTCTTCTCTACTTTAACCCCACTTCCCAGAAATGGATAGTCTAACTGGTTAGCAATAAATTGCTTATGGAAGTTTGTCCAGGGGCTGACTGTTATGGCTGGGGTGACTCAGCTGAGACTGAGGCTACCCTCCACTCACCAAGCATCTCTGACTCATATTTTAGGGAAAAGTGACTTAGTCTTTATGACACTGTAGTTAATTTTTATATTTTTCAAGTGGGTAAATATTTATAAAGCACTTAAAACAGTGCCTCACTCATGGTAATAGCTCTCTGAGTGTTTGTTAAATAAGCAACAAATATTTTTCAAGCATTTTGTCATTAACAAAAATATATTGGTAGAATGTGAACCAAGACAAATCTCAAGAGGTTCAGAGTGGGCTTCATTCTACAATGAAGAGGGGCTTATGAATACAGAGCTAGAATAACATGTGAGGGCTTATACGAGACTCTAGTCCATCAGGATGGATTAAACAGTAAGATGATAGTGTGAAAAAGTAGGAGTCACTTTGGTAAATGTATAGACAATTCCAGAATACTGCATCACTGTAACAAAGTGGGTAAATCACTTTAAATTCAGTATTAAAGGACAGAAGCATTAAAAATTTTAAAAACTAAAGTTATGACAAAGGGTATGCAGTATAAATTGATATAAATAGAACCTCAAGAAGTCGAAAGTGCCTTAATTCAATGATGAAGAGTTGTTTTGTTAATTATAGACCTAGAAAAGCGTCTGATCACTTACTTGGAAAAAAAATAGCAAGAAGTCACATACCTTCTCTACTCTGGGGAAAAACAAAATTACCCAGCGTACTCAATGGATCATGTATACAAAGAGATTATGGCATAAACTCTGAAGAATCTGGCTGGTGTGGTAGGCAGAGTGGGGGCTCAGCTCTGTTCAGGGAGTATGCTTTAGCTGCACCGTTGTGGTGGAATCCTGGCTGTGTGGTGTCCTAGCTGTGTGATGTTGGGCAAGTTACTTAACCTCTCTGTGCCTTGGTTTCCTCATCTGAAAAAAGAGGTTTGATGATGTTATTCAAAGAACAAGGAAAAACCTCTTAGAAATTACAAATATTATGACAGGATCTTTTAATTTTGTAGTTTTTTAGTTAGCAGCTGAAAAATCCCTAAGTTGGAAAATAACCCCCTAAAAAAAAGGGAAAATAGAAACAATAAAAAAAGATGATGAACCTGGGCGTGGGGGGAGGGTGTAGAGAAATTTCTTAAAAAAGGAAATTATGAGAGTAATGATTCAAAGCTTTTCCAGAAATGAAGGTCATGAGCTCAGATGAAAAGGCCTTCTTAGTGCCTGTACAATGGGCAGGGGAAGCTCCGTCCAGGGCATGTCACAGTGACATTTCCGGACACTGAGGATAAAGTGAGGATCCCAGAGGCTTCCAGAGAGCAGGAAAGCAGCTTACATACAAAGGATCGGAACTCGAGTGACAAATGAGATAATCGAGTTCTAAGTAATGTAGACCTTTTCTGGGAAGACCATCCTAGTTCCAGGACATTAAAATAAAGAAGAATCTAGATATGTTTGTCATCTCAAAACACAGTTCCGAGTTAGGCAGATGGGGGAGGGGGCCAGCCCTGCCCAGTGAGGCTGGAAACCCCACATCTGCTCTGTTGGGGAGCGTCTATTTCTTTCATCTTTCAGGAAAAGAGTATTAAACTCGCCCTTTCCTTCTCCTCCTCCAATCCCCTCTCCCCTCTTCTCCTTTTCCTTTGTTTTTCCTCTTTCCCTCACTTTATCTTCTGAGTCTTCTCTCTTCTGCTGTGTCTATTTCTGTCTCTCCTTCTCCCTTTCTCCTTTTCTCCACAGAAGTCTGTGTTTGTCTAATAATTGGCAGGAGAGATCTTTTTTTTTCTTTTTTTTTTTCTTGCTTTTGCTTTTTGCTTTTTAAGTGATGAATAGTTGGCGTCAGATCAAAGACAAGCCCTGTGGTTTTCTGGCTGCCCCAGAAGGGCGGTCCAGCTGGCAGCCGTCCCAGCTGCCTGGTGATCGGCATGTGGAAGAGATACCAAGCTCACAGGTCACCGTGTGTTCGTGTTCCTGTGTTTTTCAGGCCAACAGCAGGCTGAAGCAGATTGAGAAGGAATATACTCAGAAGCTTGCCAAATCTTCCCAGGTAAGCCAAGTTAAAAGAAAATCAAAACCAAAACAAAGACTTACACAGAAAAGCATTTGCACTTCAGCATTAAACTTAATTCCTTTGTACAGATGAGTATCCTAGTTTGGACTGGTAGATGGGTGAATAAAATATGCTTTTAATGTTTCAATTTTATTTTACAGAACTTTAAATTAGACATATTGAACCATTTGCACACACACGCACACACACACAGATGTTGTAAAACCAGCCTGTGTACTTGAGCAAGCCTGGGCTGAAACATGTTTCACAAGGGCGGGAGGTGAACACCTACATTTGTGATGTAAGCCTGTTGATACCATCTGTGCTTTCGCGAAGCATTCCTCCTTGCTGGGCCTAAAGCCTGCTTACAGCAGAATTCAAAGTGGCAAATGCTCAGGCAGGGTTAAGTCACCAGCTCGCTCTCGACTCCTTTCGAGAAAAAAGAGAAAGCCCTGTGCTGGCACTCACCTCTCATTTTATGCTGTGATTTAGTTGTTTTTAAGAAAAGCCAATAATTGAATGCTTGTCTCTACTTGACAGGTGATGCTCAGAGGACTCTTTCTGTGTAAATTGTTATAACGATATCCTGCAGTATCATTTAGGGACTCCTGAGCATTCCTGAGTTGTATGCGTAATTCGCAAACAAATACTAATTTTCATTTGTACAGGTGGCTAGATTAAGTCACTTAATTTTGTGGCATCATATCTAATGACTTTTCAAATCAGCTTTTATCAGCACTTTTGCCTATAGACAGTGGTGTGTGGTAAGAAACTGAAATTTATTTACCGCGTTACAGGGCACTCCAAAGCACAACCCCAAAATGATAATAAAATCAGAAAGTGCATGGGGCCCTAACCATAGCAACTCATTCAGGCTGTGTTTGCAGATACTCTGGGTTAAGAACAATTATTGGCTCCATCCTTCTAGTTGAGAAAGCGTCAATTCAGAGAGGTGACGTCATAAGAGATGTCCAGGGACGTAGCCAGACCCCAGCCTGGGTCTGACTTGGGGACAGAGGCTCTTGATCTAGAGTAACCACCAGCTTGACCTCACTTTTGTTCAATGGCAATTCTCTGGCGATCGTTCTCATGGAATCCTGGAAATTCTGACGTATCCCTAAAATGTGCGTCTTCCATAGTGCACATGCCACTAGGAAAATAAAAAATATTAGTCCGGTGAAGAGCTGGATGTGTTGATTTAAAATATGGCCATAATTAGCCTTGACTACCCTTATTCCCGGCAAGAACATGGGGAAATGCCCCTCTTTGTTTTAATGCCCAGAAAAGAATCCTTTTCACTTGCTTCACAAGTGAAAGATTAAGCCAAAACGTGAAACCCACCAGCTGCCAAGTCCTCACATCTCACATCTGCATATTGTGCTGTATGTTAAATGGCGGTAGACCGAAAGTGAGATATAAGATAACCAGTAAAAGTGCTTAAATAATGAGAGTACAAATAGGAGTATTTATCTAAAGAAATGAATGAAGAAGGCTGATTAGCTAACATTAAGGCAAATTAAATATCAGTCAGTGTAGAAGAAAGCTGATGCTCTGGAGTCCAGCTGACCAGAATTTGCACGCCAGCACCACCACTTGCCTCACCCTGAGCTAGTTACCTGTTCTCTCTGGAATCCAGTGTCCTCATTTGTAAAATGGGCACGTAGTACTTACTTCATAGGATAGTTTAAGCATTAAGTAACACAATGCAGGAAGAAAATGCTTAGTGCGGTGCCTAGGACATCCCAAAGCATTTAACACAGTTCATAGGCTTGCAATATTAAAATTACAAAGTAGAAAGGCAGGGAGTGAAGAATGGAAAGAAATTATTGAGTCGAAACTCTGGGTGTTGGACAATTGACAAAGCCTCTCTCTAAAATTTGGAACGGTTTAGGTTTGCTGATTATTTTCCCAAGTAAAGATGAGGAAAAGTGGAGGAGGCACGAGAGGAGGAGGAGAACCAAAAATAATAACTATAATGTACTGTTGCTGTCATTTCAAAATTGAAAAGACAATGCAACATTAAAAATAAAAACAATCTTAGAAGGCGTGTGAAAGTGTAATACAAGGTTGTCCATTCTTCTCATGAAAGGGACGATGACACCCTTACATTGATGATATTTTATTTACCTTTCCCCTACGCATCACCATTTCCAGGTCTATAAACATGTGAATTGGCAGTGGAGAAACACTGGTCTGTAATCCATCAGTTCAAAGAAACAGATTATTTGAGAATGAACATTATGAAATAGAACCGTGGATTAAGTGTTTTGTTTTCTAGTGATGGTTTGCTGGAATCTCACTCTCTAGCTCATCTCTAAACTGACGAGGATGCCAGAGCAAAGTTGCTTGATTGTTTATCAGGTTTTTAACAATCCCTCTTTAAAAAAAAAAAAAAAAAGTAACAAGATGAAGATGCTAGTAAGAAATCTGTTGGTACACAGGAGATCATCGGCTTAAATCTGGAAAATATTTAAAGTATTTTCCTCTTTTAAAGGAAGTTACTTAATCTTTATGAGTCTACCAACCCTCTAGGACCTGATAGACTGCATTAAACCTTTGGCTGCACCGCAATCTGTGCCATCTTCCCAGGATGACACCACGTGTGTTTTCTCTAGGCACACCTGCAAACACCGTTTCCACCAGAATCACATACGTGCCCCTTTCATCTTATTATTCCATAGTAACCCAACCTTTTCAATTTTTGTATGATTTTCCCCACTGCACTGACTCCCTGGGTGGCCATTTAAAAAAAGAGAGAGAGATACTGGCATTTTGTAGTGATCTAGGTAGTCAGGAGTGTGGAGAACACCCAAGCTGGGTTTTCAGAGGAGCCCACCCACCACAAAGGGTCCTACTTCTCCTCAGCCTGCAGTAGTTCCCACCTACCAATGACACATCAGGCCCTGGGCTCCTTCTCCATGTCCAAATGCCCCCCCTTCCTGTCGATCTCCAAGGGGACCACACACTGCAAAGGGCAGAGGGAGCAGTCCACCACCTGCTCCATAAAGATCCCCAGGGCTTGTCAGAGATTATGTGGTATGACATTGTTCGGTACGCCTTGTCTACCAGGTTTTAAGAGAAAGACTTAATAAAAATCTCAAACTGAACTATTACCTGAAATGTGATAAAGTGAGAGCAAGATGAAATCTTAACTTCTGTTTGGAATTGTTATTTCTAAGACCACTAACAGTTCTGCAAAATATTCATCGCTTAACAATACCTATTACGCCTTTCATGGGATGACCTGCATATAGCACCAGCCCAAAGTAGCTCTCCTTTTGCTTCTCAAAGTATTTATTTTTAATATTCATATGGAAATATCCAAATTCAGCTTTCTCTGAAGCAAAGGCCGGGTAAGCATTTTGCTTAGGGATGACATTTTGTTTTATGGTTTCAAATTCATTTTCATTTTCTCAAATTTTTTACATTCTGGAAAAAGACTAGATTATCTCAGCATAATTTGCCACGTAATTATTTTTTCTTATTTACTCTACTTGTATTTCCACTACAAAAATATTTACTGAATGCCAGTTATGTACATTGAACTGGAGTAAAATTAGTATGTTGTCTTACAATCTACAACCAATAGCTGTTCCTTATCTAAAGTCTATTAATCTATTATGATTAATTCTTAATCTTAAATTAAACTTTCAGTCTGTTTTTAAACATTGCCCATATTTTAGCCATCTCTCTATGTCAGTCTATCAACCAATTTACTTATCTGTTCAAGTTGTTTCCACCTCAAGGGTTTTAATAGTCTCTTCTATCCACCTCACAAGTTTTTCAGTAGGATAGCTTTTTAAAGAATGAAACTTTCCAAAGATAATCTCATTTTCCCAAAGCAATCTTAATACTTTCCCCCCCACCAAGAATGTAAGGTTTCATTTCCTACACAAAAGCAAGCATACTATCTTGAGAACATTATGGACGTTACTTATAGTTGCTTCCAAAACCTCCTTTATTTTTGATGTACGCTTATCATAAATCTCCTGAAAGTGAGAGATCTCTCTCATGTCTTTGTGGCCATTTGAAGAACCCCCAGAGAGGTTTATGTTCAGTATTGGTCAATCTAATCTAAAGCTAATCTAAATGTTACTTCTTAAAGAAATGAAACCTACTTCGTCCTTTAAGAACAGTATGTGATTGTGGTGGTAGCTACATGAACTCTGGGTGTGATAAAGTCACTTAGGACCAGCCACGCACACACATGGAACACACAGTAAACACATTACAGGGTGAAGCTCACCACTTCCACCAAGTTGGAACATACTACACTTGAAACCCTGCAATAGTCACTGAAATAGTATGATATTTTTACTATTTGGCCTCATGGTTTTGTAAAATCACAGTCTTAAGTTTCATGCTGGGCCAAGGATATCTGGCACTTTCTTATCTCTGGCTCCTCCTGCTCTTGTGACTGTGAGTTGATTATTCTGTGCCTCAGTTTTTGACATTTACCATAAGAATTTAACCTTCCCTGTTTCATAAAAGTGCTAGGGGATTAATGCCAGAAAAGAAACAGCATTTAATCAAAATTATGAAAACATCCTAATTCTCAGCAAATGAACTCCTCCATTCATAGCTCAAGATTCAAGCTTGCATTTTGAGAAATATTAACACATTGTTACTGTATGTTTTGTCATTTCAGATTATCTTAATACTGAACTATGTACACATTCTGAACGTCAAGCTTTGTTACAGTGGTTTGCTCAGTTCTAAAAGCATAAACTTCATATTTCATTGTAAATATGCTATGACTTATGTCAGTATTGATAACTAAAATTTTAGTAGACCTGGGTTTTGGGGGACTCCAGCTTCAAGGGATCGCCTTATAATGCTGTAACACATCTTTGTCATACATTATAGTTGGAAAAACTGAACTTCACAGAAGAAAATCTGCCCAGAGTCTGTCCGCCATGACTCCTACTCCCTTAATCCCAACAGAATGAGAGTCTAGCCCAGGACTAAGGCTTTTTCTGTTGTTAGAAGAAACAACCACTTTCTGCTTTTAAAAGGCTTCCCTAGTGAATGAGAGAGGAAATGGATACATCCAAACCAAAGGAAGGGCAGTGCCCTCCAGGAGCCCCTTCAATTAAGAGGCCCATCACTAGATGATTCCTTTGAGAACTTAGAAGTCATGGAGAGAACCAGTTCTTAATCGCAGAGAGTGCTGCAGGCGCCTCTGACATGACACTGTTTGAACCAAAATAAATGTTCATGGATGTGTATCAGGGAAGAAAGCAACCTGTGTGAAATTGTCTTAGCTTCTCTTCAGTGCCAAACCTTGTTTAAAAGAAAACAAAGTAGACTAGCCAGAGAAACCTATTAGTGGAGGATCAGTCTGTCTGCGTGGTTCGCATCCTGCCGTGCCCGGGGTTGGATGTCATCTTCAACAATGTGAAATAGTTGACCTCTTTCTATGCCTCTGTCCCCCACTTGTGAAAGCTCACAGAAGAGACAGGCAGGAATTTAGAGAGCTTAGCCCCGTGCACAAATATTAGTGAATACTCAGACATTCTCATGGACAATTAGGTGACTGTGAAGAATGAACTCTGTTCATTATTTTCTCTGGTTATTACACTTCAAAGTATTTTGAAAGGCTGACTCGCCTTCATTCTAACAAGCATATTTCTCAGGAAAATAAAATCTGACGTGTTTCATATTTTCGAGATCACAGATGTTCTTTCTTCTGATGAGCAAAGAGTGTGGAATGTTCTAGTGGAAGTGTCTTCCAAATATACTTTGTTTGGCAGTTCTTGGCCATTCAGAGTTTTATTGTCATCTTTTATGGTGTGGAATTTCATGCACTCTAGAGTATGATACGTTAATTGAAAATATTTCGTTTATGAAGTAGAATCTTGCCAATCCATTCTTTCGTTAGGCATAAATACATATAAAATAGATGCTGCTCGCTGAAGAGTCTGGCGTTATAGCATGCTGTTTCCATTTTAGATCATAGCAGAACTTCAGACAACCATTTCCTCTCTGAAAGAGGAGAACAGCCGGCAGCAGCTTGCTGCAGAAAGGCGGCTCCAGGATGTTGTGCAGAAGTTTGAAGATGAGAAGCAGCAGCTGATTAGAGATAATGACCGAGCAATCAAGGTAATCTGAAGACTCCAGTAACCAGTGGTACCAGCTGCTTTAATGTAATTAAAAGGAGGGCTGCAATCCCAGCAGTAGGCAGATGAATGCAGGTATCTGGCTTGTTCACACAGCCTGCAGTAATTCCATTCACTGGACTGTACCTTTGATGTAGCCAGTGACTCAGGCTGACTTCCCTCTAAGAGATCACATGCCAGCATCAAAAGTCATTTTTGGCAAGTCCCGTCCATTCACATTGAGCAAATATTTGAAAAATACTCTGTCCTTTCTCTTGAGACCCACTTTGGATCCGTCTCTTGAAATCAGAATGACTATTTTCCCCCAGTACTGCTGGCTAATAAATTCAGGAATCAGCTTCCAATTTACATTCTATTCTTTGCCCACATCCTTTCATTATGTATTCACATAATGAGAAATAACCTGTTTGAGGTTTGGAATGCCAGCCGTTTGATGTGCTTTGACACAGTACCCGGTAGATGCTTTGCTGCTGAGAACCCAGGTTGTTTCCAAACGGCTTCAGAGAATCACACCTTTAATGGCAACAGAAAATTCCCTGGACCTTGATTCTTTAGGCCATAGGCAGTGAGATGTCAAACTCGCTTTTTCTTGGCTGCACGGCGGTGAGTATTATTTTAAGTGTCTACATCATGCTGTGTTTAATCTGTGAGGAGAAGCATCTGGAAACCTTTATAAATAAGATTTAAAAGAGGACAAACATTTTTTAAGGATTCCCAGCAAAAGACTATTTGTCAGTGATTTTACTTGGTTCTCACAATGCCTGAAATACGTAATGACGTGAAGCCCTGGGAAATGGGAAACATTGGGGTTCTAGTGTTGGCCTGTCCTCCCCTTTCTGCTTTGCAGCCTACTATGGGCAACTGGGTTTAGTTTGGGGGAAAGGTCATGTTAGGGGAAGTGGAGGCCTTTCCATCTGGCCTCCTCGCTATAAAGGTAAGGAATTGTTTTTGTTGCAAATGAGATTTTCTCTCTCAATTTCTGTCTTTGTGCTTCTACACACACAAGGTATGAGGCCAAAAGAGATCTTTTTATTCATATTCTAGTCGTTACAGAAAAAAAATCATTTAACCCTTTTCTATGTATAAATGTATATGCATTGCTCCTTGACGTGTCGTTCGTCCACTTTGCATGACCTGAGTTCCATACTGTAAATTGTTGTAGTTGTATCACAGTGGCACGTTCAGTCAACTCCTTTCACCTTATATCCAGATACCAAGTGGTAAGTAACTGCCACATTTTAAATAAATTATTGAATCCCAATGTAAGCCAAAATCAAGCAGTTCCTTAACATGATTCCAATACTGTTTCAAAAGAAAAATCCAATATTGGTTCAAGAAAAATCTTGAGAGAAGTGTAATTCACCTAACTGCCTATTTTAGTCCACTTAGGCTTTAGTTCACTTAGCCATGAAAAAGGAAAATCATTTTGATACTAATTTCCAGCAAAGTTTCAAACCTTAAAGATGGTAGTAGATATAATGACCTCTAAAGCATGAGTGTCACAGGTGTCTGAAAATAATTAAAATGACAGTGTAGCTGTGGCTGGTTTCCATTCACTTACATAGATTATGTGTAAAGTGAATGACTTTTTAACTTACCTACTAAGATAATTAATTCATTAGCTCTCATTGCTTTGGTTCTTTTTTTCTAGACTATGTCTCAGAAAATAATTTCAGGATCATGCTATTTATTCAACACGTACTATGTACCAGGCTCTGTCTGTCACTCATCTTGCGTTCCATTATCTCATTTAAGCCTTACAGTAATCTTTGTGAGGAAGGTATTTCTATCATCCCTTTCCTACAGCAGGGGAAGCTCTGGGCTCCTATTAACAGCCTGGCTCTCTGCTAAACAGCTGACAGAGCCGCTTCAAGTCACCGTCCCCCTGACTTGAAAGCCTCCATTACTGACTGTTCCGCCATCCGGCAGTCTCCTCTGTGCTGTCTGAGAATGTGAGTCAGGGGCCAAGAGCAGAACAGAACCTGAATCTCCTCACCCTAATATTCTGTCACGTTGATAACAGCAGTTTTGTAACAGTTGTTTGAGTTAAACAATTCTAGTTGAGCATTTATTTTATAGATATCGCTGTAGCTACATAGATGCTTAAGGAGTGGCCCCGTCAGTGGGAGGCTTGTATTTGATTTTCCAAGGCGAGATACACTCATCTGCAGGCTTATTAAATTAGCTCAGAGGCACACAATTTTAGTAACATTAGATACTGCTACATTGCCATCTTAGACTTCAGTCATCTTGCAGAAAGAGTGTGCATGCCAACTGTGAAAGATACTTCACCCCACTTTCTGGGTGATGATGCGCTGAGCTCTCTGGAGCTGGTGGTCAAAAGTAGAGCTGGAGAGTAACTCTGGACTCAGTCTACCAGAGTTTATGGTAATATTTCTGCAGACCTTTTCCTCAGTGATTATTTAGAGGGCACCTGAGGTATCCATTGTCTACTAAATACACTTAAAAAGTCACCCATCGGATGCAGAGTAACTTGATAAAATGTTTCTGGAGAACAACTTGACAGTATCTACATCACTAAATTTTCTGAAAAACAGGCCTAACCTTTGCCCAAAGGTGCTAACTCACAGTTTGCACTAAACTGTAACCAAAAAGCTGCTCATTATAGCATTCTTGTTGTTCTTTTTCTTTGCTTGTCTGTATACCAAGTGCCTGTAATGTGTTCGACACCTGCACGTCAGCATTCTCTCACTCCCTTTTATATTTTTCACCATGACATATAAACTGGTAACTGCACTGTTGCAAATTAATTGGCGATGGCTGCTGGAGGATAGTGGAAATGTTTGCTGTATTTTCAGTGAAAGCAAGGGTTACAAAATATCACGAGGTTATTTTTTGCTAATTAAAGCCCATATAAAGTGGGAAAAAGATAAGAATCATGGATCAAATTTTACTGGATATTTTTGAATGCTGGAGTTTGTGATCATTTTTCTTCATACATCTCAGCTCTGTCTTTTAAATTATAACATAAAGTGAAGCAGTAACAGTTGTTTGGTAAAACAGAATCGTCACCAGCCTGAAGGAGTCCAGCAGACTCCAAGGGCACATTGGTAGCGACTGAGACACATGGGCTTGGCCTCACTGGGTAAGAAATAGCAAGTGAAGCAAGGTCTTCTTCAGAATGGAATTCTTGGGGCCTAAAAAGAATGATAGAAATAAACACTTTCATATGGGTAGATCTTTGATGCCATAGTACACCCCTCTTGAAAAACTGAGAGTACTTACTTACTGCGTTAGCACACTCCGTACAAAGTCAAGCTTCCTGAGTCATCTCTGCTACATAATGAACCACCCCAAAACCTGGTGGTATAAATGCAAAAACCATGTGCCCATAATCCTTTGAGTCACAAGTGGGCAGGAATGAACTGGGTGTTCCAGAGTGTGGTCTGGTCTGGACCCCTGGTGGGCACATTCAGTGGGAAGCTGGTCCAGGCTGAGCCAAGCCTGCGCCTATGGCCAGTCTCTGTAGTCAGACCCTTCCCGAGGCAGCTGTAGCAGAGGGTGTCTTCAACAAGGCCGAGAAGACCTACACCTTCCAGGCTACCTAGGAGGAGTCCCAGTGACACTTCACGTTCTTTGGGTCAAGACAGGTCCCAGGGCCAGCCCCAAAGGGAGGGGTGGCAGAGGCTGTGACTGTCGCCTAGACCACACCCACCACCAAAGCATCCATAATCCTTCCATAGACCAGCCAGCATTGTCCGTTGACATCATGGCGTATTTGTATCTTTTCACTTTTTTTTTTTTTTAAGAAAATTTCTCTTGTTTTTGCAAAATTAGAAAATTGTGTATGCTATTAATTCAAGGGACAGGGGGACAAGGTCAAAATAAAGCCACCCTACACCGCATCACCCAAAAATCACCACAGTCACATTGAGGTGAGCATCAATTCAGATCTCCGAGGATGTCTGAAGGAAAAATAAGATGAAGAAAGCCACACAGACTTCCAAATGGGACAGTAGATTCTAGATTCTATATTTCTGTTTTACAAAAATCTTTTAAGTTAATCTTACTGAAATTCAGCGGATGAAGAGTGAATCAGAGGTGGTGTTGAATTCTTGGACAGACTGTATGGAATTTTGGCTGCAAATGAGTACAATGGAGAACCTGCAGGGCTTCCTCTCAGCTTCCCTGCTGCCATCGTCCGCCCCTGACAATCACTGCCCAGATCTATGAGATCTGTGATTTGTGCTTCACCACAAGCTTTGCTTTAATCCTCATGCTCTAAGAGGATGGGGTGCTTACCAGGAGACCTTTTTCTAACGACTCCATTCCCCAAGATTTTAGTTGCTTGGGTTCTTAATTAACTGGATTTTCACAGTCAAGTAGTTTCTTCAAGTCTCAGGTGCGCTCTCCTCTGAGTTTCTCACGTTCAAGGCTACCTTTCTGTTTCACCTGATGTTTGAGTGACATGGTAGGTGGGCACTATATTCTCCTTCACACTGTTCCTCCGGCATTTTGATTGCTGTGGAGAAAGCCAGGCAAGACAAAGCTTTCCTCCATGTAAATGGCTTGCTTTTACTGAGGGCTACCTGAAGAAGACTTTTTTTTTTGTCATGTAAGTGTAGTAGATCAGCCAGGATACATTTATGAGATAAGCCATGGTACCTCTAAATGTTAAACCCCCAGAGCCAGTGGTTGCTGAAGTCTCGTGACTCTCTCCTCTCTGTAAATAAAACTCACTCAGGGTACTCTGCCTCATCTCTGTCCTGAAGAGCTGGAGCAAAGGCTTGTTTGCAGCCTGGTGAGTCAGACATCTCTTTTTGCCCAGAGGTTCACACTACCTCAATGAGAGAGGGCGTCTTCTCTGTCTTTGGGGTTTGGTCTGTGTCCATGAGGTCTTGACCCTCCTACTGCACATGGAGATGGACAGCCTGCTGGTTACCTGTCTTCCCACCACACCCAGCTCCACTTTTCTCCATCACAAGAGGGAAAAGATGAGGCAACTCACAGGGTTTTTTTATT